GGCGCTCCCACCGCGCTGACAGCCCGCCCTGAGCTCATGCCCCTCATGGCATAGCAGGCCACCCAGCTCTCACCTGGCTCTCTCGTAAATCTTAATTTTTTTTTAATGAGTTGAAAAGACTAACTATATTTGCAAAGCATTCAACAGAAAAGAGTTCGTATCCTTTAAAGAAGCTGAATATTAGTGGTTTCACGACTGCAAGCAGACGACATGCACAGCTCCAAGGCACACGCCTGACACATTTTACCAAACAAGCAAAGGTGGAGTTTCTAGTCATATGGAAACTTGGGAAGAACAGAAGAGTGAGAATGCTCCCCGTGGCAGGAACATGCGACCCAGCTCGGGGGGGACACAGGGGCGGCCCAGGGAGGAAGTGCCGCCTGCGCAGAGTGTGGCTCTGGCTGGAAGGATGGCCGGCACCCGAACAGCCAGGAGTGGGCCCCACACGTGGTCGTCTGGGTCGTGTCCAAGGGACAGAATTCAGCACCTATTCTGGGCAAGAACTCAGGCAAAGCAGGAGAAAGAACTTTAAAGTGCTCAAGGGTCTGTATTAGGTCAAGTTATATGAAATTGCTAATACCTGACCACTTTTGACCTGCAAAAATAGCAATTTTGTGTGACTCAACATAATATCAAAGCCTACAGCAAGCATTCCACCTGAGGATAAACTGAAAAGCCTTCTTTCTAAACCAGGACACAAGTGTGGTGCCAGCTGCCCTGTTCTCCCCGCTGCTGTGTGGCTGTCCCAGCCAGGATGGCAGGCGAGAAGGAGGGCTGAAGGCTGAGAAGGAGGGAGTTCCGCCCAAGAGCACTGCTCTGGGAGCACAGGGCCGCAGAGTAGCATGGGCACACGTGCCATGTCATTGGTGCAGTCGGTGGCCAGAGAGAAAAAGCATTTTATGAAAGTCAGCTGTGTTCCTAATGACCCACAGTGGTTAGAAAATGTAAGTTTAAAGAGATACTCAGGATAAACAAACTGGTACAGCCATCAAATAGGACACTACCCAGCATTGGGCAGAAGTGAGCTTTAACCACGAACAGCCGTGGCGGGGCCTTCACTGCACGCTGCCAGGTGAGAGCAGCCGACTGGGAGGGCACACACTGAGTCCAACTCCAGCAAGGCCTGCGGGAGGCAGAGCTACGGGAAAACATCAGCGGCACCAGGGGCGAGGCAGGGAGGGCAGGACGGAGCGCAAAGGGTTTTCAGGGCAGAGGACCTACTCTAGTGATACTATAGTGGTGCACACGCCTTACACGTTTGTCCAAACCCACACTGTGTCCAACAGCAAGACTGAGCCCCGATGCACCCAATGGACCCTGGGTGATGTGTAGATGCAGGTCACTGATTGTAACAAACGTACCATCTGGGGGGATGTTGGTAGTGAGGGAGGCTGTGTGTTGGGGATGGGGGGCAGAGGGTGCGTGGGAAACCTCTGTACCTTCTACTCGATTTTGCTATGAATCTAAAACAGCTCTAAAAACAGACTATTTACCACTCCCCCCAAAAGAGACATTTCCAGATATTATTCTGATAGCATGTCCAGTTTTTATTTAGTTAGCATTTCTAAATAGTTGAGGGGGTAAAAAGATTTAGAAAATACTGAACTTCCACATGGGTAATGACCTCTGACTGTGGCCCCTTCAGAGGAGCAAGAGAGGCCTCACTGGCAGTCAGACCACAGATGCTCAGAGACACCAACGATCTATCTGTTACTCTGTAAAGAAGTGTAACTGATGCCACATCTCCTTCCCAGATAAATGACCTTAAGAGTGGCCAAAGGCAATTTTAAAAGGGACAGAGAAAAAAAAAACAACCACA